GGGATGAGGCGAGCTGCTCTAGTGTGTGCTATGTGTGTGTGAGAAAATGAATTTGTAGTAATGGTGGTGTGACCCACGTGTGATGTGTATGGCGTGTGAGATGTTAATTACCAATTTATCCTTATTTATTGGTCAAATAGGTACATTTGACCATGAATTGTACATCTATTTACAAAACTGCAACCCATGTTCGAATGTCATATTTAATATTTGACTTGATTAGGACTATTAATTTGTTGGATCCAATGATCCAAACTCATTCTTATTTCTTTCACTATCTATATATACACACTGATACAATGTCCGTGAAGTACACGAGTCTTTGAAAAAAATTAATTGTATTTTTTGTTATTTTTTAATTTAGTTTGATAAATCAATTTAAAAATTATTTATAAGGATATATATCATTGTTGTGTATTTTATATATGTAATATGGATGTCAAATCGAATGTTGTTAAAAGATAATAAATTTGATATCATATATAAAAAACAATACAAACAATAAATGTAATATAGGGTAATGTAGAAAAAGGAAACATAAAAGAGTTTATAAAAATTAATTGTATAATCTATACTTATATAAAAAGTCATCACATTTACTAGAATTAATATAAAGAAAAGTCAACTTATAATTAATTGCACACCATATTTAGAAAGTTTTTAGATTTTTTAAATCATAATATAGGGTAACATTAAATAACCCTAAATTATGAGTTTTGTTGAATTCATTTTTAATAAAATTTGCATCCAAATTTACGTGTGGTTTTGAAGTGAAAATTTGAAATTCAAAATATCTTCTCATTTTAGTTACAAGAAGATCAGGTTGCAAGCAACACTTGGACCAATTTAAAAATTATTCCTTAAATGAAGGAATTTATAGATAATTGTTATCTCTACTCAATCACATAATTATTTTCAATATAAAAAGAGACATATTACAAAATAGTGAATCATATATTACCTAATTTAATATCTTAACATTAAAGAATAAATCCATAATATTATGTAAATCTGTATCTCATATTATTATATCATTCAGAATATATTATAGATATTATCAAATTATAAAAAGATATTAAATCCATATTGTTAAAAAAATAATAATAATAATAATTCATATCATTTTATAACAATTCTACTATAATATTTAATAGTATTCTTTTTTATTATATAATAAAATAAGAATTAAATATTATATGGTGAACAAGAATAAGTAAAACTGTTACTTTCTCTTATATCGAGGGATAAATTTATATGCTAAAATTAAATTTTTATTAGTATAAAATGTTTTAATGAGATAATATATTAATTATTTTACAAGCTGACTCTAACATTCTCATATTTAATGTTCTGCTAAGAAAACAACGATGGTTAAAAGATGTGAAAAAAAACTTATAATTCTATTGTTTTTAAGACTTAACGTTGATTAAAAGATGTTGACAATAAATAATAACTCTATTACTTTTTAGACTTAAACGGACAAGACTATAAAAATAACTCATTTAATATCTGTTTCTCGTGCATCGCACGGGGTACGTACTAGTAAAAAAAAGTAAGATATCGATCACAGATTCAATATGAATAATATAGATATTTAATGCAATCCAAACCTATTTATTATTATATAAAGAAATACTAATTTATATCCTATCATAGCTACGAACCATAGTTTTTTGCCATTGAAGCGTGCGAGTCTGCTACTGAGGCTCAACGCATTCGACAATTATATATAAGGAGATATATAATCAATTCGATAAATTTAACAGAAAGCATAAATTGGTGAAAAACCAAATTCGATAAATTTGATTGGAAGTTCAAAAGAACAAAGTAACAAATTAAAACCTCATCCAAACTGCCTTTCCTCCTAAACCAAACTTACTAATCCCATCTCACAAGTGTTTCAGTTTTTTCTGTTCTCATAAAACAAATTATGCGCGAGTATAATCTACCAAATTTCTCAGATTCACATGAATATTGGTTTATTACTAAACATCAAAAAGCACATGCTTATAAACTAAAATTGTAGCTAAATGGAAAAAAATATAGAAAAGATTCGTTCAGCGGTAGTTGTTGTAGGCAGGAGAGTACATGCAGCTCTCAGCAAACTTGACGAGATCCTTAGGGCGGGGGAGACGAGAGGCAAGACCTGGAAGGGCATAGACGTCATTTCAGCTCAATACAGTCCTGTGCTGCACCATATATACGATTAAGGAAGATAAGGACAGTAGATTAGGCACTTACCAAGATCATATGATTTTGCAGCTACATTAGCTGCAATGTGGGCTGATATTTTTCTGATATCGGTGAACGGAGGGTAAATCAGTCCTTTCTCGTAGTTCTCTTCTGTTACTTGAGCGGCCAATGCTTCAGCTGTATTTAGGACGCGGACGAATGGTATTAATTTTTCTTGATTGAAATCATAAATTATGTACCTACAACATCATTTGCTGCGTTTTCTTTTCGTTTTTTTTTTTTTTT